TGGCTCGCGCAGTCACACTAGCGATGAGAACCACGGAAACAGTCCGACCAAAATTCTAAACACAGAAAGATGGGTTCAACCCCCGCACAGACTCTGGCGATGATGGACGTTATTCTGCCTATGTGGCGACGATTTAATGTGAAACAACGAATGTATAAGGCTAATTAAGGGCGTATTCTCGCTACTCTCACCTAGTCAGCTGACGGACACAAATGTAAACAAACAGGCGAGCAGCTAGTTACAAACTTGTATCTGTTTATATTAAATACAAGATATAATTTTGCCAATTTTAAAATATTATTTACATATTAGACTGTCTTTTTAAATCGTTTTATATTATAAATACTTTTTTTCTTACATTACTATAACGATTATCTATTATAGCTTATCATTTGAACGAAAAAGACCACGGAAACTTGCCAGCGAAAACGATAATTATCGTTTGACTGGAATTTATCGCATTCACCCAAAATACAAGCGGTAGCGAGAAAAAAAAACACGAAAACGTGAAAAAACCACGGAATTTTTGCTAGTGTGACACCCCTTTTAAAGGGATACAGAAAACATTGGCTTTAAAAAGTCTTTAAATATCATTCACTTATATACCTACAAAGAGGGGCGAGAAAGGGCGTTCTGCTGTATTTGTGTACAATAATAAAAGGGACAGCAGCAACTTTGCCCAAACACGGATTCCTCTCCCAGAATGGATATCCGAGGCAAGATTGCATGAGGTTCACCATTGTTTGAATTTCCCGCGGTTGGGATGAAGTTCCAAATTAATTGCAAACAAACCCAACAGGACACTGCTCAGAACAATTATTCGCATGTTCCTGCATCTCGGATTCCAATAAACATTTCTTGATATATACTGTTTTCAGATTATGTAACCAGAGAACGCATGGTTTTCGACGTGGATCCGAAGTATAAGCGACCGCTTAGTCTTTGATGGCAAAGTGCAGTGTGAGAAGCGAACTGTTTCTCTGCAGGACAAAATTACAATAATTCGTTTTGATCGACACATACAGGTGTTTGCACTCTTGAAAAAGAAACCAAGGCGCTCAAATATCTTTTACACTGTATACGAAAACCCGAAGAGGTTTATTCACAATAAAGAACGGAAAATATTTGTCAGGCGTGGGAAAGCCAAGGCCGGGCGCGGCGACGTAAACATGCAGACGACGTCAAAAACCATACATTTTGGGGGAAAGTGAGAGCGTGTATTTCGTGTATGTGTGTGTTATTTTGCCATACACAATCCTTTAAGCGTGCTAAGTGCCGGTGTACATACATACATACATACATACATACATATATATATATATATATATATATATAATATATATATATATATATTATATATATATATATATATATATAACATAGTAATTTTCTACATTACGTCCGCATAACCGATATCGACGATTTTGGTATCGCTGGATTCCTCTCACTCTATACAATGCAAATATGTAGGTTTTATTGCTCGGAAACCCGCCGTTAGCGGCAAACTTGGCCCCGATAGCAAGGGAAGGCATGGGTTAATAACACTATTAATATAACGCACAGTGAAACTAACCATGGTTATTCACAGACGCGACCCCCCCCCGGGAGGGGCTACCGCACCCCAACCCCCGCCGAGGAAACAAATCCTCCACCACATATTCCCGGCAGGTTAGAGCGTTACACAATCATCGTCGATGTGGGAGGGTTTTGCGCCTCTTTCGATGTTACACCGATGGCCTCAAGGTCGAGTTTCCCGTCCTCTGGAATAACGACATCCGTATTCCTAACCGAAATAACCGTCGCGTTCAGTAGTTCGCCATAGCCGCCGCGATGGCCGAGTGTGGAGGGTGCTCGTACTCGGAGACGGTTTTCTGCGCGAAATGTCGACCAGCCAGGAAGAAATGTTAGAGATGTCTGTGGCCGCAGGAAGAAGCACTTCGTAGGTTACTGCAGGACCTGAATGTGAGGTTGCACCACTTCCTGTGTGCTGCAGCGTAGCTGTATCCTCCGGCCTAGGACCTCCTGCCGGACGCACCCTGCCTCCTTCACCTTCTGCGGCAAGGGAGCACCCTCCCCACAATTAGCGGCATCTATCAATTAGGTTAGTACCTTCAAAATCCTAGGTTATTGTAGGTTATCGGCTCCGCATCTAGTTCGTGTGCGCTCTATTCTGCCGTGAATACGTGGTGGAGGTTTTGTTTCCTCGGCGGGGGTTGGGGGGCGGCAGCCCCCCCCCATAGGGGGATCGCATGGGGCGCAGCCCCCTGCAATGGAAAGTCATGTGATTAACCATGATTATTTACACTATGGGGTTATATTATTAGGGTAATTTTATGTATTAAGTCCGCCGCTCCGACATCGGGGCCAAGTTTGCCGCTAACGGGGGGTTTCCGAGCAATAAAGCCTACATATTTGCATTGTATAGAGTGAGAGGAATCCAACGATACCAAAATCGTCGATATCGGTTATGCGGACGTAATATAGAAAATTACCATATATATATAAGTAGTGCTAAGTGCAGTGATAAGTGTGAGGTTTTGAAGTTCGAGCAGTCTTAAAAAGTCTTCGGATAGTTCCAGCGCCAGGAAATTTCTACTTCAGCTAAAAAGGTAAATTGTTTTTTTGACAAAATTGTTTTATTTTTTCGCACTAGTTTGATCGATGAAATATTTGTAGGAAAGTATATACTTTTCCAGTCTTTGGGATCCTCCGTAAGTCGTATTTTGTTTCTTTGTTTCTAAAACATTTTTCATGAATGTAATTTAAACTTTCTCGTCACAAGACTTCTCTAAGATTGATTTACAGGAATATATAACGGCAGTGGTGACGGTAGGTTGCGCAAGTGCTAGGAGGGTCGCATTTACTGTAAATTAAATGCTGTGCCTTACGGTTCGGTTCGTAAACAAACTTTTAGTTAGATGTATAATGGCAACGTATGTGTATCTGTAGGCCCTATATTTTAACGTGCACTCACAACACACACACACACACACACACACACACACACACACACACACACACACACACACACACACACACACACACACACACACACACACACACACACACATACACACATACACATTCGATCATATTTTCCCATCTCTTTTCCTTAATCGACCTTTATTCCCTCATCTATCTCTCCCCTCCCTTACCTTCCCCATTCTTCCCTCTCCGCTTTCCCTCCTCTTCCTTCCCCTCTCCTGTGGCCTCCACTTCCTTCCCTCTCCTCCTCCTTCCCTACCCTTTCCTGCTCCTCCTCCCCTACATTTTCCTACCTCCTCCTTCCCTCCTTTTCTTTCCACCCTCCGGTATATACAACATTCTATTTTAAGAAAATTCTTAGACCAAATAATCTTGTTAACAGTATTAGTATCCTCATCTTTCTCTCCTTTCCTCTTCCTTTCCTCCCTTCCCTCTTCGTCCTCTCCGCTGCCGCGTTCCATCCTCTTCCAGTCCACCTCCTCTTTCCCTCCTTTTCCTTTCCCCGCCCTCCCTCCTCCTGCCACTCCCGCGCCCTTTTCCACGGCACCGCGGGCCGTTGACATCCTGGCTCGGCTCCGCGAAGCAGCCGGACTGGAAAGGCGGAAACTCGCGGCCGAGGGACAGCGCGCTCACTGCCTGCTCTCTGCGCGTGTACGGCTGTGTCTCTAGATATGCATTCACTTACACACACAAATTCATTCTCTCTCCTCTCTCTCTCTCTCTCTCTCTCTCTCATCTCTCTCCCTCTCTTCATCTCTCTCTCTCATCTCTCTCTCTCTCTCATCTCTCTCTCATCTCTCTGACCAGACACACAGTTGGCCACACACATATATAAGGAGTGTCNAGAGAGAAGAGAGAGAGAGAGGAGAGAGAGAGAGGAGTGAAGGAGAAAGAAGGGAGAGAGAGGGGAACGGAAGAGATTGAGAGGAGAGACAGTATGACAACAGAGAGAGAGGACGAGAGCGAGAGAGACAGACAACAGACGAGAGAGCAGAGAGACGAGAGAAGACAGACAGACAACAGAGAGAAGGAGAAGAGAGAAGAGAGAGAGAGAGGAGAAGAGAGAGAGAATGAAGAGAGGAGAGAAGAGGATGGAAGGAGGGAGAGAGAGAGAGGGAGGAAAGGAGAGAAAAGAGTGGGGAAAGAGAGGAAAGAGGAGGAAAAGACGAGAGGGAGAGAGAGAGAGGAGAGAGAGAGAGATGAGGAGAGGAGAGAGAGAGAGAGAAACGAGGAGGAGAGAGAGAGAAAGTGAGACAAGACAAACGAGAAAGAGAAACGGAAAGAAAAGAAAGAGAGGGGAGGGAGGGAGGGGGAGGGAGAGAGGAGGCGAGGGAGGGAGGGAGGAGGGGGGAGGAGGAAGGGGAGGGAGGGAGCAGGAGAGGGAGAGGAGAGAGAGGAGAGGAGGGAGAGGAGAAGAGAGAGAGAGAGAGAGAGAAAGAAGAAGAGAAGATGAGAGAGAGAGAGAGAGAGAGAGGAGAGAGAGAGAGAGACAGGAGACAGGAGACAGGGAGAGACAGAGAGGACAGAGGACAGAGAGACAGAGAGAAAGACAGACAGGACAGACAGAAGAGACCGACAGACAGACAGAGACAGAGAGACAGACAGAGGAGAGACAGCAGAGAGAGGAGAGGAGGAGAGGAGAGGGAGAGGGAGAGGGAGAGGGAGAGGAAGAGGAAGAGGAGGGAGGAGAGGGAGAGAGAGAGAAGAGAGAGATGAGAGAGAGAGAGAGAGAGAGAGAGAGAGAGAGAGAGAGAGAGAGAGAGAGAGAGAGAGAGAGAGAGAGAGTGAGTGTGTGTGTCCAGGAGGAATGAAAGGTGAGGAAGATATGAGTGGAGTGGAACGAGCAGTTAAAACAAAAGCAAAAGCAAGAGTTCCAGTCTTATGCACAAAACCACCATAAAACACACATAAAATGTAGACATAAACAAATCAAATAACCAACATATACAAATCATATGCATTAAAACTTTCAAAACAAAAAGAAGCTTTATCTATTTCTTCCATCTAGTGCCTAACTACATCACAAAATCCCAAGCCTTTTTCACATGTGAATTTACCTCCGACGCCATGATCTGCGCCACAAAGGCCTTGTTCTGAATCATCTCCAGGAACCTCTGAGATGCGGCTCGGGGCCAAAGGCGACTGGCTCCTGGGGGACTCACTTCGCACAGGGTTGCCTGGAAGAACATGGATCAACTGCAGACTCTTCTTCATCAGTCTCAGTCTCTCTTACATACAGTCTGCGTGTCTATCTGTCTGGCTCTGCCTACTTCACTATCTATATGCCATCTATGTTTATAAACTTCAAGTAGATTACTAGGTACTTTAGAAGTTGTAGTACTAAAAAATTTAATAACAAAAGCAAGATTGTTATCAACAATAAAAACAGCAGCAGTTGTAGTAACAATACCAACAAAAAATAATAATAATAACGACAATAACAACAATAATAAACACACCTTAATGGCCTGTGCTGGCAGCTTATGGAAGGCTCTGTGGAGGAGCCGCAGCGAAGAGTAGTCACAGCGGCAGATCGTGCCATAATCCACAAAGAAGAGCTGGGGGGAGGCGGGATATAAAAGACTGGAATATGGTTGTCTACAAACCGAGGAGATAAAATCCAGGAAGATGACATGACATAGAAGCCAAAGAACAAGAAAGAAGAAAGAAAATTGGAGCAAGATAATGCCAAGAGAATTGGCCTAGAACTCAGGAAGAGGAGAAGAACGAAAGAAACAAGCAGGTGACAAAGTACAAGAATAAATTCACAAAATGAGTATTGCAAAACTATTCATACAAAAACATCTCAACATTTGCTTAAACCCCCCACACACACATGCACACTCAATCGATCACTCACTCACTCACCCTAACTGTCGTCAGGTCCTCCAGGTTGGTGACAATGGCACGGTAGAAGTTGAGATCAGAGGCATAAAGAGCCACCACAGGGAAGCCTATAGTGATGAAGTCGTTGGGCACCACGTACCGCCCCCCGATTGGACTCCCGTAGAACTCGCTGGGAGAGGGGATTCCCTTGTTAATGACTGCTGTACCTGATTACATCTAATGACCAAATAAATAAATAAAAAATATAATGATTAATATATTTCCACATATCTCCTATTCCAAAAGCCAATCTGAACTTCCCTCACATTCCTAGTAAATAGAATTTATATATCAATAAGAGTGGCTCTGGCTAAACAGAACTGCATAAATAATGGCGAAGAAAGAAGAATACCCAAGCCCATCATATCTAACAATTACTATAGGATGTATGGTTTAGTCCTATATTGTCATCACCATTATCATCAACAATAATATTGATACTGATAATGATTGGTGGCCGATGTATGATGGCCATGATGATGATGATGTTGGCCATAAAGATAATGCCATGAATGATGATGCATGATTGATGATTGATTGATGCTAATGATGATGATTGAGGCCATGATGATGTTGATGTATAAAAATATAATGATCAATGATATAACAATTACATAAAAACAATAATAATAAATATAAACAATAAATATAATAGTTAAAAAATAGCATATTAATAATAATAGATTAAAAAAAAAAAACAAATAAATATAATATATAAAATAACTCAATAATTTAATTAATAATAATATTACATAAAATAACATATAATAAAGTTAATATAAATAATAATAATAGTTATATAAAAAGTTACTTATATAACTAAACAAACATAAAATAATAATACCCATAAATAGTTATAATAAAAAAATATAATAATAAACAACAATAAAAATAATAACAATAATAGTTATACTAAACAACATATAAAAACAAACAACGATAAATAAATTAATGTTAATAATAGTTATAATCAAAAATATATAATAACAAACCATAATAACAATGGCAATGATGATGATGATGATGATGATGATGTGATTGATCGAATGATGACGATGGAACGATGAACCGATGACGATGACGATGACGATGACGACCCCACTACACTGTAAAAAACTCACAACATGCGATCCATGAGAGCATCCAGGGCCTGCAGTGTGTCTGCCCCTCTTGCTGGATCATCCAGAAACGGTGAGGCGAGTACACCTCCCCCACCACCACTCTCCACCATCTCCCCTGGCGGCATGAGTGCCTTCACATCTGGGCACTTGTACGAGGAGCCCGGCTTCACTGCTTCTGGTGGGATCTGTGGGCCAGAGGAGGCATTCTCCCTGGTCTCTGCCTCCTTCTGGAATTGCAAAATTAACATGTTTATACATATTTTACACACACACACACACACACACACACATAAGTGAGCATGAGTACATAAAATGAAAATGAAAATGAAAATGGCAGTGTTTACCAATCTCTCCTCAGGCGGAACAAAGGACTGGTCCCGCATGACCCTGATGGCTCCCCCCCACATCTGGACAGTGATGACCTCTGGGTGATTACGCAAGAGGGCTTCCAGAGTGAGGTAGCCATAGGCCTCATGATCCAGATCCCTGAGAGTGGCCCCGAAAAGGCCCTGGAAGAGGAAAAATGTTACTCCTCTGTTTTCTTAACAAATATATACTCTATAAAGAATTGATTTGCTTTCTTTTTTTTTCTTTTTTTTCTTATATATATATCTTGTAGGAAATGACTTATCTTTTTTCTTGGTGTACCAGGTACATTTGCCATTTCAAATAAAGGAAAACAACAAAGTAGTCCAAGGGAAATGTTACTACTAGTATTCCTACAACTATTTCTGTAGGAATTAATACTGCGAATAATATAAAAAAAAAACTAATCTTGTTAACCCCTTCAACTTGTATATCAACCACTGCATAACTTTCAACTTTCACAACAGTAAATAACACAATGGCAACAATAACAATAACAATAAACAATCAAGAATGATGATGATTATCATAATAATAATAATAATAATAAAGGCAATAATGACAATGTGAAAACAATAATATGGATGATGACTGATGCTAAAAACAATAGTAACAATAATAAGAGTGCTAATAAACAAATAATAATGCAAGCTTTCTCCCCTCACATGCAACTCACCCTGTATGCCCCCACCAGTTCCTCAATGGCCAGCCCCCCTGGATATTCCACTTCCACAAGCCGTCTCAGGCGGTCGATTGTTTCCGCACTCAAGTTCCTCTGCTGGTGTTCTGGACTTTCAGAATCTGGAAAATTACATTCATTGCATTGTGAAAGAGAAAGACAATCTGGGCTAGAAATTTTCCATGGTAAGAAATTAGGCAGCCAATCAGAAAAGTTATAAGGATCTTATCAAACCTAAGAAAAAGTTCAATCATATTCCTGAAGACCCACTCATGACATGAGCTCCTAGCACCATATTGAACCACATGCCAAGGTACACCACACATGTCAGAACACAGGAGAAAAATCAAGGTGAAAATGAACATGCCCTGCTCTACACTCTTTGCTACAGCATAAGCTATTGCTTCCGCAATGGGCTTGAAGTCTACTTCTGAGTGGCAGTTTCTTCTCAATGACTGCAGCCAGGGCCAAACAAGTAAACAACTGTTTAGTGTGCGTAAATTAGAGCAGACTCAACCACGCATGAAATAATGGGCCACTAGCTTGGTGTGTGGGACAGTCATCTATTCCATGAGAGAATGTCATCCTGGATTTAGAGGCTTAAAATATCACCTAATAATAATTAGTTACAACTGAACCTTCTTTACTGTTGGGGTTAAGTTCCTGAAAATAATTTAAATTGAAATAACTATGACTGATATCAAAAGTACATTATAATTCTTATTCAACATTTTGGTTGATATTCATAGGCCTTCACCTTACAGCAACTGTTGCTGTTAGGATTGGCTTGTTACCATGGGTAGATGTCAAAAGTTATTTTACCACATTTCTCCCATTTGTGTCCCATGGACACCCATTATATGGCATAACCATACCCAGGTCACTTTGGTACACAGGGTAAATGATGACAAAAGTTTCCCCCTACTTTTTCCAATTTTGATTATAATATTTTGACTCTCACATCTCTGTTTGTCTTGAATGCACACTCAGGTGTGAACTATTCCATTCCACAGGGTTTAGGATTGTTGCTATCTGATTCAAGTGAATCTGAATATGCATTATATAGCAGGAAAATGCTTAGCAGAGACGGTCAATTTTCATGCTACTGGCTTACAATTTATTCTGTCACACTCAATCAGTTCATTCAATCAGTTTCTCAGCAGTAATTTCCACAAGAACAATCTAAAATTTCCAAGTTCTCTGCATGTACATGCCACAACTGTATGACAGTACTACCTGCAACTTTACATCCCTTTCAAACACTGTGAAGGCATTTTTACATGTCTTTTGTGAATGTTTACATTTAACCAACCATCATGAGATATCGGAGTAGCATGATTCCTAGCCTTAATTTCTTTCTCTTTGCTTTCTTTTTTCTTCTGTGCTGTGTGGTGCAGTGGCAGCGGTCTCGTTTAGCAATCTTGCTGACCTGCATTTGACAGTGTGTCCATCAACCAAGGAATATCCATTGTAACAAATAGAATTAAACTAAATTATTATATCTATTATCCTCTATTAGATGTTTTATCTCTGCTGACTCCCATACACATTCCACTACATAATGATGCATGGCCATCACATGCTACCAGTTAAATTATGGGGGCAGAAGATATACATTTCCTGTATCCCGATTAATGATAGCATCACTGCAGTACATGGTGTGAATGCGAGACTAAGGCTTAGATTCCAGTACTGATTAGTATTAGTAACCCATATCTACCTTTGTATCATGGTGTAGAAATCATAAATAAAATTGCAATGTGCGTAAGAGTTTCACAAAATCTAACCAAATTATAACTGTTATTATGTTTGCTATCAAAGAAGCAGCAGACATTTCAATCTGAATCTGAAGTCTGGGCTCTCTTATTGCACTCTAGTCTTTGATGTAAAGGTTTTAAATTTGGTCTATACACACACAATGAACTAGTTTCAATAATAATACAAATACTAAGCCACTTTTGGTGATTTTTTCTCCTTCAGGGCAATAAATGGGCTTTTTCCATTTTAGTATATGGTTTAGAAATAAAAGTAGATTTCTTTACACATAGGAAGGTGGCAAAGTAAGGGGATAGACACATGAAAGAAAACAAGGAAGGAAGAGGAAGAGGGACCAAGAGAAAGAACAAAGAGACGAGAGCCTGCTCACAACGGAGAGATGAGAGAAAAAAGGAAAGACCGAAAGAGAGAGACCCCGATACCATTGTGACATCGCCTTCCTCCCTTTCTCCACAGTCCCGCACGCCTCGCGCTATGTACTCTCCCTCACCTATTCTCTCTCCCTCCCTTTTCTCTATCTCCCTCCCTCTTTCTCTCTCCCTCCCTTCTCTCTCCGCTCCCTTCTCTCTCCCTCCCTATCTCTCTCGCTCCCTATATCTCTCTCTCTCGCTCATCTCTTCTCTCTCTCTCTGCTCTCTCTTCTCTCTCTCTCCTCTCTCCTCTCCTCTCTCTTCTCTCTACTCTCTCTCCTCTCTCCCCCTTCCCTCCCTCCCTCCCTCCTCTGGCCAACAAGGTTTCTATAACTTCTTGAATAAATAAAGGCTCAGTAAGTTTGCACTACCCCAGCCTGATAGACAACTTGTCCCGCACAATCCTACCTTTGTCGTTGTGTGCAACTGTTAAAATATACTTCACTTTCTAAAAATATATAATATTTCCTTAGTACTAAATCTTTCTCGTGTATGTCAGGAAAAAACAGAAACAAGGACTGGTTTGCCTGTTATAGTGCCATTTAGTTAAAAGTTTTTTACCTTCTTCTTCTTCCTAATACAGAGGTGATAATTGGGGTAATACTTAATACAGTGAAACTGTAAATACAATAAAAAATAAATAAATAAATAAATAAAAATTAAGGTGCATCAATGAAACACAAATTGGCCCAAACACATCTGAGATTTTTACTCTGCTCTTTTCT